TTCTCATTGGGTTGAGGGTTTAAGGTGCAGGGTTTAGAAAAAGCCCCAAAGGCCCCCAGAATGTAATTCCAGGATTCAGCCTAGCAAGCAGACGGCTTAAACGCTACACCCTAAACCTCCAAACCGTAAACCGTGTGGATGCTGCATGGGTCCTGACAATAGGAAATCACAGCAAACCCCACTGGATTCAGATGATGGCTTCAAGCTGTTACACTCCCCCAAACTAACATGGAAACCCATATAGTGCCCTTTTAGAAGGACTGTCGTCTTTATAGGGCCCCTTTTGGTTTCCATGTTAGTTTCCAGGGGTGTAGGTTCCTTTTCATATTGTGCTGCCATGTTGCATCCCGTAGGCGGAAGAGCATCGTGCAGCCCTTAGCCTGTCTTGCATGCTGCATACATTAGGGTTTAGGGTTTAGGGAGTGCCAAAAGGTCAAAGGCTTTGGGTTTGAGAGTCCCAACACGTGAGATTTTTCTTCGCCCTTTGCGAAAGTCTTGTGGGCGTTGAGGCTAATGTAGATCCATGATCACTAAACCCTCTCCCCTTAATGGGGATTTTCATAGGGACGCTAATATTAAGGCGATAAAAAATTGGGCTTATTAATCAGGGGTCTACATTACGGCCCACACAAGAGCTTTGAATTTCCAGGTGCCAGCCGTGACGCCAAAATCCTGCAAGACCCTGTGTACCTGTACACCCTGGATCAAGAGAATTCTCGGGGGGTGGTATGCTAAGATCACGGTTTCGTGCCGTAATGGACGTCGGGGTGGGCCAAACTGTGGGCTTGTAACAGAGGCTTGCTTCTGAAGAGGGCATCAATTGTAGGACAGGTTGGGAGATCTTAATTCGAGAAGATCACGGACACTCCCTCTCCTGACTCGCTCCGGTCCGATCTGAAGATATTTGAAAGCGGACGTATGCGGCATCGTTAGTTAACACTGGTGAAGTATCTCAGCAGTCCTTTTTGCTCCCCCTGCCGTAGATAGAACATGGAATTATTGCCCAATCTCAGAATAAGATCTGGATCTACCCAATATGCTATCTACTTAAAGGGGTCTATGGTCTGAGGTGGACAGGATTAAGCGGTTCGCGCCATCCATGTCAGACGCTGCCTCTACGGTCCAGAGCGGCGCGGGCCGCTTCAGGCCCATACCAGAGCCCAGTATATGTCGATGAAGGGATATAAAGGGGCGTAGGGTTTAGGTTGAGAGGGTCCAGGTTATATGGGATTCTACAGGGGTTTACGTCAGGATGTATAGTAGGGCAATGTAAAACATAGAAAGTCTGATATTTTTGTAGGGGTCTCCGAGAACTGGGGCTCCCTTTTCGCGGTCCCATAATATCAGGCGGGCCACTGTTTCCGGAACCCCCCAATTTACGTTGATTAAGTTTACACAGGATTATGTAGCGAGATTCGCGCAGAGGTATAGGGTGATAAAGGGGTATATGGTTGTAGAATGTTGTAGACAATATGGGTCATGGCTGAATTAAGAAATAAACCTTATAGATGACCTTAGGACGCCTGATATGATTTTGCGTAAATTCTTTACCTTAGGGGTACTGGGCTCCCTGGCCCTGGCGACTTGTTGGTCCCTCCTGCTAAGAAGCGGCTTTTGCGGTTGAAGTTATAGGATCTGCAGTAAGTTTGGGGGTCCGAGGGTTTGAGTTCTGGGCGTAAAGTTCAAGTTTGGGGGGTGATGGTTCCAAGGTGCTTTCGTTAACTTGTCCCCATGTCCAGATTCGCAGTTTGATACGGGAACTTAAACGATTTTCCCCGATTTGGGACCAGTAATTTTTTGAAAACGGGAACACTCCCGCACGTCCATATGAAGCCGTATAGACTATATAGTAGTGATGAGGTGATTGTAGAGTTTGTGGTCTGGAGCTCTGAAAACGGAACCCACGTATAGATATGTGTGTGTCGTGTCGCTCAGCATGTGACAGACACGAGTTCCAAGAGCCTCCACCATTGCAGGGTCTTAGCTCACGCAAGCGCAGCCAGAAAAGGGTCTCAGTGAGGTGGTGGACCAATAAGCTGTAGAATGACGCATGCCGTGTCTTCATTATAGGTGCAGTGGACTCGCTGTCTCCGTCTGGGGTGCAGTCTCAGGGTAAAGCTAGGCATGTCGAACTTGATGGGGTTTCCGGTTGGGGTGTTCGGTTTGAGGATGACGATGGCTGCAGTTTGATTCCTTGCCTCCCTCGAATGCATGTGAGGGCTTCTGTGGCAGCTGGCCGAGCGTTCCATCCTCAGCCATGTACACGTACACACAGGACTACTGGTACTAGTACTTTGTTGCTGCAGGAGTAGCAGTAGCAGCAGCAGCTGCGACAGCAGAAGCCATGCTTTGTAAGGGCAGTCGTAACAATGCAAAGCTGGTACTGGCATTTGATGGTGCCACATTGGTGCCCTTGGAGGTCTTGTGCCCCCCCGCCCCACGGGAATGCCTTTCCTGCATTGTGCAGTTTTGAGGCGGATGGCCAAGCAGAGAACAGTCGTTTGCCTCAGAGTCTGTGTACTTCCCGCAGAGGAGTGTTCAGCATAGCCCTTGCTTGTTTTGTGCACCTCGTGTCATGCCACCCGCTGCGATTCGAATGCATCTTCCTGAGCAATGAGACGTGCAATGTTGAGGTGCAGATTGCAGAGCAGGCAGAAGACTCCTGGCCCAGTTTTGGCTTGTACCAACTATGTGCTGTGGTGAGGATTCAGGGTTAAGGGTACCAAAAAAAAGAATTAAAAGAAAAAGGAAATGGAAAACAACATGGGCAAAGAGTCTTGGCTGAGGTGGCAGCAGATTGACGGAGCCTGATGCGAGCAAGTTGCTGGACCCCTCAAATGAGGCCAGCCATGATCTGTAGCCTCCTTTGGATTTTCTTCATTTCTATCACAGCATAGCCCTAAGGAATAAGGTAAAATAATATGGCAACCCTAAGGAATCAGTTAAAACAATATTGAACCCCAAAGGAATTTCTTAAGAATTCATTGTTGTTATGGGTCTGAAGGGGGATTACAGAGATAATGCAACTGGCCAAGGGCCAATGCTAGCAGCCTTGTGGCGCTGCCAGTTTTCACTCATGGCTCATCCTGATGGCTTACTGAAGGGTCAAGGGTGTATATAGGAGTTTAGGGTTTAGGATTTTCTTCGGAATACTTGGAAGGTAGTACTATAATGGGTTATATAGAGATTATAGTGAATATATTGGGGGCTACATGGGGATAATGGAAAATACACTGGAAACTACTGTTTAGGGTTTAGAGGTTGGAGGGTCAGGGGAACTTAGTAAGTAGGTTAATAAGGGGTATGACTAGGGTTACTCTATGGGTTGAGGGGTTATTAACCTACTTACTAAGTCACCCCTGCCCTCCGAGTAGTGAAGGTCCCTCATGGCTGCTAGCTGGGACTGACACAAGATGAATCCAGCTTCCACTTCATTCCCACGGAATTTTCCATATGAGGCTCCATGATTTTCCTAAATCCTCTGCACTCCCCATACAAGTTTTAGACAACCCCTGAAGAATATTGCACACACTGGATAACTCTGATGGATACCGTATAAACCCCCTACACCCTAAGGCAAAACCCTGCACTCTAAACCTTCAACCCTAAACCCTAAATTAAACCCTAAACCTTAAACCCCAAAGCCCTAAAACCCTAAAGCCTAAATCCTAAACCCTGGATGAACCGGAGTGCTAGTGCAGACCAGCGCTTGGTCTGCAATTGCATGTGTAACGTGGCGTTTCCATTACCTGCAGATGTCTAAGGGTTTAGGGTTTAGGGTCTTCCATTGCCTGCAGATGTTTAATGTAACGAATATATCGGGCAGATAGGGATTCATATAATATAGGTGTATGTAGGGATATTTCGGGACTAGGTTTGAGGAGGAAAGGTTTATAATTACCACCTACTGAGAAACCAGCAAAAGCCAGAACAGAAAGGGAAACCAATCTAGGTTTATATAGGGCTTTGCACAGGGGCCCTAGAGAATAACTACCAACATTATGGTCCTAGATTCCTTGCATAATATGGTACAGGGTACCTGGAATACAGGTCAACATTTTACATTAAGCAATTCTGCGTACTTAATGCTAGCTAGCATTGCACAGTGTTCTGTACATAGGGAGAATGAGAAGCAAAAGGAACTGCATAAAGACATGCGCGCAAGATGAGACACCACTGAGTCACCAGTCTACGCAATTCTGTCCTGCTGCGTTGCATGAGGGTTTCGCTCGCCGCCCCTCGCGGTCCAAACCATGGTTCATTACAATCTTATGGCACTCTAGTTGCCATGAGTCCCTGGTTGTAAGGAGAGTAACTTCTTGGAGTTTAGGCTTTAGGATCCCTTTTGGAATACTTGGAGGGTAGTACTATAATGGATTATATAGAGATTATAGGATATATATTGGGGTTACATAGGGATAGTGGGTTCAGTACTTGCAGGCAGGGCTACGCCTGGTTAACCCAGAGCAGCGCATGTGCCTAAAAGAAGACTTTGGATGCGCGATGTTTCAATCCTTCCCCCTGAGATGAGAAAATCACCATGGTTCCGGTTTCTTCATGCTTTCCATGCGGAGTTTTGGTGGGAATCGCTGCGATTCATCTCAGGGGGTTGATTCTGCTTGCGTTCATCACGCATCTGCAGCATGGTAGATGTTTGGGGCGCGCCAGGTGTGAGACATGCCCGGCCTCGTCAAGATCTAAGCTATGTTTTCCTAGTGGCCTGATCTCAAGTTATGCTTCTTCAGATATGCGTCGTAGAAGTTTGCACTTCAATCTCAAAACTTCACTCTCCGACTAGGGAAGACCGACAGCATGATACCATGGACCCGACGGGTTGCTGCAACACAAGGACCTTGATAGGGAGCAAGCTTCACCTTGCCATTCCCAACAGCAAGGATGTTCAGAGAACCTGGCGTCGCTTCTGAAGAGTCTGGTCGCAGCTTGCATGCTCAAGCTTAGGTATCTTTGGGAGCGTGTCTCTGCAATAAGGACCCTCCTCAATGCTTGCATTCGTTCTGCTTTTCCAAGCTGTTCAGCTTCTTCATGCTGTGGGTTCAAACAACCCCGCATACTCAGATGCAGAAGCTTTGCTGGATGATGACGAGTGTCAGAGCGGCATGAACTCCGATCAATGTGCAATGCAGGCACTCCAGATCGACCGAGCCACGACGGTGCAAGGAGACAGCCCGGACCAGTCCATGGACAATGCATCCAACACTACGCTGGGATCTGGGAGATGGTTGCTTACGCTGTATCATCAAACAAGCGAAAGCGCAGGAAGAAGCATTTTGAAGCATGGCTTCCGGCCTGGTCATGTTGGCTGGTGTGGTGCCGGGATTTACTTCGCAATGAGTCCTGAGGCAACCTCAGGAAAGATCAAGGGCCCTGAGTCCAAAGCCGGCTTCATTATTGAAGCTAAGGTGGATGTTGGGCACGTAAAGCACATGCCCTGGCACTGTACCACAAGTCCATCTTGCAGAGTCCATCCCATGGCCAAATGCCAAGATAGAAGGAATCGAGGGAGTTGGTTGGCTAAACAAGGCTACAACTCTATCAACTTCCAGCCTGATGCATATGGGCCGGAATATGTCATCTATGACACCAGACGGGTAGTTTCCATGAAGGGCTACCGCTACCATCGATAAGGTCCAGCAAGAAATTTGCTGGTCTTTATACCGAATTGCTTTCCCAAACCTGAATGGAGAGGAAAGCAGAATCTATATTATGTCGGGTTGAGTAAGGACTACTATACGGGCCCATTCCTCCATTCCCGGCGCTAACCACTGGTAAGCAAATCGGCTTTTGATGTACAGCTTGCAGATGACGAGCTTGTAATGCGACGATGCGGCTGCTGTACGCTGCAATGGACTGATAATTGCCAATCCTATAGAAAAACAAGAAAGAGACCCGCGGGATAGGAATGATATTAATGGAGGAATGACATCATCCCCTTTCATTTATGATCTCTTGAATTTGCTGTATAGATGATCATTATTGATGCGGAGATTGAATACGAATTCTTGAAACGCGGATTCGTATATGAATTCTATTTAATGCTGAAAAAAAAGAATGAATTCAAATCGTTATTTCGAATGATCCGGCTTTCCGTCTAAATCTCTTTTTGAATTCTCATTACCTAGATTTTTCAAGAACAATAGAAATCTTAATGAATTGAAAATATTATAGATTGGAGATGATTCATTATTTCATAAGATAAAGAAATATTTGAGAGGAATAATAGATTTTAGAATCTATGAATATTTGAAAATGATAATCTATGAGATTTGATAATCTGATATATCATTTGATAGAGATAATTCGAGATAAAATGATTATAGATAATAAATTGAATATTTTAGAATTCAATCATTATATGAATGGATTGATATAGATTAAGATTGATAGGAATAGAATTTCTTAATTTCGAGAAATTCGAAATAAAATGATCATCTTAAATGATATTGTTAATATTGATAAGATTATTGATTTTCATAGATTATTTCTCGGATATTTTGATAGATTGAGATATCGGTTACTATATATAAAGATATATTTCGAATATAGATTGATAAAATGAGATTATATATTCGATAATATATATTATGAAATAGAAGATTGATAATTATGCGCAATTCTAAAGCATAATTCTATAATAATATTTTTTCGAAATTTACGTAATTTCTAAATGATGGATACGAATTTGATTTGAAGATTCACTCTTGATATTCGTATCTTTCTTGGACTAGTTATTACGCGCTGGATGGGAGGAATTTAATAGAACGATAATCGATAAATCAAATATCGTATGTATATATATTTCTTAGTAATTTGATTATATTTAATTTCATAGAATTCATTTATTATGTAAAATAATTTAATATATTATAATAAGATAAATTGGGAAATGAATATCTTAGGAAGATATAAAATGATTCCTATAAAAAATGATGATAAAGATTGCCTTCTATTCATAAGATCTTGAATATATGATATCTTCGTCATCTATTGAATTAGGCTATCACGAATCTCAAAAAAGAGAAAATTCATTAATCAAAATATAATTGTCTCCAAGAATTTAGACAATCGAAAATCAATATTTAGAATATTTTAAAAGATGAATTACTTTCATTTCATTCGATCAAAAATTAAAANNAAAAAAAAAAAAATCGTAATATTGAAATTCATAATCTGCTCGGATAATAAATATATAATGAATATCTATTATATGATAGATCATATTATATCATTTGATATGATTTTTTTCGAATTATTCTATTTGAATATCTCTTCCCTCATCGAAAAGATTTAAAGATTTGAATATATAGATTAATTAAAAGGGATCTCATCTCTTATTCAATATTTCCTATATTCTGAAGAACGACGGATTCATAATTGAGAATTTGATATATAAAGATCATTCGATTCAATATTGGATAGATTTATATTCGAGATAATATAAATCGTAGATGAGGAATCAATCATATCTAGAAAAATTTCTGAGAATCTTCTTCATCTATTTTGATAGAGGAATCGACGTAATAATTGAATTAATATATATAAATTATATTTGAGAAATATCAAAGATAAATTTGATCTTTTTGTAGAACGATTATATTCTAATAAATTAGATCTGCCTAGAGAATATATTATGGATTTCGTATTATATCTATATTATATCTTCATCGATAAATTTGAAAATAAGATGATCGATCATATTGATTATCATGAATCTTCTTTAGATAAAGATTTGGAAATCTAGAGATTTGATAAATATATTGAATATAAATATAATTTCAAAATCTACGATATTCAACGCATATCTTCTTGAAATTAATGATAAATAGATATATACATTGGTCGATTCGCGATACTTAGATATTTCAAATAATTTGATCAAATTAGGATTTATTGGGAAATGATATGCGATCGCCAATGATCGTATATTGATATCTCGTCATTGCTTATATATTGAAATATAATTGTACGGCCGCGTGATCAATTATTAGATCGGATAATTTGATATTCAAAATTGGATCATATATTTTTGAAATTTGATATTGCATTCAGAAATATCTGTCATTAATCGTGATATATCTTATCATATGCGCGTCTCTTTCAAAATCCAAACGAGAAATCTTCTCCCTTATCCAGGATCCCCGCCCCGTCCATTGGAAGCATCTCTTTGCGTCCATTGGAAGCATCTCTTTGCCCCCGTTTTAACCCGCGCCCCTGAAGCTCTCCCAAGACCTTTCAATATCCTTTCGTATTCTAGCTAGAGATATGAGGTCGAATACCCGTATTTGAAATCTTCAATTCTCCTTTCAATTTTCTGAATTCTTCATTGATTTATGATTGATTATAATCAGAAAAGATGAAATTTAGATATGAGACTCATATGCGATATTGATGAACAGGGATGATCAAAAAATGAGATTCAAATAAGAATATCAAATTACATTCAGAAACCTCCTTCCATCTCTCGTCTCCCATATATATCTTTCAAACGAATGCAATTGCTTGGAAAACGTATTTAGAAATATACAAAAACGGAGTTTTGAGAGGCGCGCTTTGGAACGAATCTTGACGGCATTCTTAAGATATCTTAAAAGATTTAATGAAAATACGAAAAAAATCTAAGGTCAACCATCAAGATGCCCTATATATATTTTGTAGGGACATATATTTCAGATTATCATGAAAAATTGAAGAAAATCCAAGGCGAGGCGAGGCATACCTGCCCTACAAGCGCAGATTAAATTCCTTTCAGAGATTTCTTTGACGCCCCCGCCTTCCGGGCAGTTCCCACTTGAATATCCTAGAAAATTCCTTCAATCTTTTCCTGATATTTGGTCATTTTAATCTTCGCTAATGCCTCCCATAAATTCCCTTAAATCCTCCCACGGCGCTTGGAGGATCCTCTCCATATAATAATAATATTGAAATCTTGAATGATCAATATTTTATCTTCGAATTTCTATAGATCGATTCTAAATCAAATAATTGAGCTTAGAATATCGAATCGCATGAATATATCTATTTATGATAAATTAGTTGGTTATTATACGCAAAATATAATATTATATAGGATAATCTAGGATAATAAGAAAATAGATAACCTTCAATAGGAATCGAATAGATATCAATATAAGGTAAAATTCTATTCAAGATCATAATTGCAAATATCATATACTAAATATCGGGACGATTTTTCTGTACAATATCAATTGATGAAATGATCCAATCTAATATTTGCAGCTGATTTCTTGTATTTCTCGTCATCCAAATTAGGATTTTGAATCCAAAGATTCCTAGCCGTAATCGATATAATATTCGCGATAATCAATAATCAAAGAGAACGAAGATTTATCGATAATCTATATATATTTCTCTTATCTCGAAGAAATATTTCTATTGATATAATAAGAATATCCGAAAATATATTATAGAAGAATAATAAATCTTTGGAAATAGATGGCGCGTATCATAAATATATCCCAGATCTTGATATCTAAATTCTACGATTTCTGAGATTGATCTATAATGAGAGATTGGGAAGATATTCTGATCTGATAAATAGAAGAATAGAAGATAGAGATATCAATATATCTTATTCTATTTAATTGATAAATTTTAGATATCAAATGAAATTTGAGATTATTATTTATTATCTGATTGATGAGCCGTATTTCTAATCTATAGCTCCTCATCTTGTTTGCCTCATATTTGATTTTATTTCTCATAGATAATTTACGTACTCAAAATACGGTGATCTCGTTCGCAATCATAGAATATCAATATAGACTCCATCATATTAGAATCTTGCGAAGGAGATTGCAATTTGGGTATAGGCCGGAATCTTGGCAGAATTAAATCATACTCTTGCGAGGACTAGATCCCAGATTCCACTATAAAGGGGCGAATTTCGTGATTTTTAGCTGCTGCTCGAGTCTGTCGACGACGAGTCCGAATTTGAAGAATTCGAGGAAGAGGCCCTTGCGGGGACCTGCAGGACCTTTTGGCGTCGGCACCGTCGCTTTCGGCGCAGCTGGCGGACGCGCAATTTACGCAACTCAGCCTGAAATGGCGAGGCACCGTGCAGTCCATGAGCTGCCTGAGGCAGGCCTGAGGCAGGCACGCCTCCTGCACCTTCTGCCTCAACATGAGTATCGTCTTGAATTGCGTGGGCACTATTGCATTTTTGGGCTCAGAATGAATAATTTTTTGATAAAATAGGATTCAAAGTCGAGTTCTAGATTATACCTAGGCTTTCCTCCGCCGGGGCAAGTAGCTGGGGGGCAATATCCCACGCGTTGTTTCCTTTGCCGTAGTATCCTCGGCGGCATTCGGCAGGCCCAGGGTTTTCTTCAATAGGCGAGATTGTCAGCTGCATGCCAATTGGTCGGATATTAGAGACGTAGTTGTGTTGCGGAGGACCGCATATGAGCTCTGCGAGGGGAGGGCTCGAGGGACCCAATAAATCCTGTTTATCTTGAGGTCCGGCACCGCAAATTTGCAACTCTTGACCGGCATATCTGCGTCATCCAGTAGTACTTTGACATAAGGCGCAGTCCGAACTTTGCGGAGATTGCCATTAAAGTGCTGCATCCAAGCTACTTTCAATTCCTTGGCTTGCCGGATATCAGCT